AAATTAGAAACCACCGCAAAAATAATGGACAAGAAAACAAACAACCAAAGAAAGAAAAATCAAATATTTTTCGATTTCATACTTGTTAATGTTTTCTTTTCTCATTGAAGTGGACCACCACACCACCACTATAGTATGTGAACTGTGTGAAAATCATAGGCAGCTTACGTGATTAAAGAAATATAGGTAACCGATTCTGGTAAGAGGACAATGATTCGAGTTAGGAAGAACCATTCCATAGGTGTCTTCATCTCAAACTTTTCATAACATGGCTTCTCTCATCTTACTTTTATTTTTTATGGTCAATTTGTGTTCTATAGTCATGGGCAGCACCTATGCCTCCACATGCAATAAAAAATTTCAAAAAGTTACTATAATTAATATCTTCATTGATAATGAGAGATATTAATTACTATATTTTTACTCTATTTTTTCTCTTAGTTCAACAAATCTTATCACAAGCACAATAATGGGAGACTTATAAATTAAAACTCCCTCAATTATGATGAAAGTTGCCTCAGAACTCAATGCGAGTGTAGTTTATGAAATAATCATCTATGATGTTTGATGTTTGGTAGCATCGCAAAGGATATGGACTTCAACAAATGTATTACGAATCACTCAAATTTTCTACAAATACAACAAATGTACTAATTTCGTTAGCAACTTTGATGTTTCTCTTAATGTGGAATTTAAAATTTTAGTTTGTTAGTTTATGAGAGAAGAACTTATTTTGATTTATAGAATATAATCACGCTTATTATGAAATTTATGGAAATAGTGGACATTCTGGTTAGGAGAAAGATAAATTTTATGTGTTTATAAAAAACTTAGTGGACAAGTGAAAAGGAGAAAAAATTGGACAGCTCGAAATTTAAGTTATGGTACACTAAAAAAGTTAGCTTAAAAAATGAGGTAGGGATTATTTTGGACAAAAAGTTGAAGAAAGATATTGTGGATGTAAAAAAGTATGAGATTAAATCATAGTATTAAAGTTTGTAGTGAAACAAGATGTCTTTAATGTTATTAGCTAGTGCTTACACACCTCAGGTTGGGTTAGCATAACATCTTAAGGTAAAATTTTGGGAGGAATAAAAGACTTGCTTTATGATATACCTCAAGGAGAGAAACTTTTTCTTGGAGGGATCTAAATGGGCATGTTGAGAGTGTAACAAGATTTTTTGAGAACATGTATGAGGGGTATGGTCTCACTGAGGTGCTACTCCTCCCTTCACAAAATCTCAAAGATCTTGATAACAGAAAACCACTTTTATCTGCTTGCACCAATTGCAATTCTCATTATTATTGTTCTTGAGAATTGGAAGGTTCGCCGGAAAATACCGTTTGGATGATCCAACGCCATCGTGATTTTCTTCCCTCGAATCACAACCAGAACTCTAGATACCGGATGTTGGAATTAACCCAAAACATTTTGAAAATTCCTAATCAATTTTGATTTCAAGAAAGATTACACACTCCAATTTTAATGAAAAGAAAGAAAGAAGATGAAACAAGAAAGATGATTAGGGCAAGACGAAATTAAGAGAAAATAATTTTCTGCAGAGTTTCTCTCTGCTTTTAAACTGGAAATTTCTTATTCACTTTGCAACTGCAAAACTGTGAATTCAAGTTATATGTTGTTTACAAAATAAGAGTTACTCTCTATTTATAAATTTAGGTTAGCTTGCACCCTAAGGCAAAGCGCAAAACTATAAAAGCCCAAAATAGTTAACATTACTAAAATAGGTCTAAGTCGAAATCCTGTGTGAAGCAACCTGCTTCGACACTTTGACACACTAATACAACTCGACACATAGATATTTCGACACAAAGAATTACATTCTTAACAAATAACAAGGAATTGCTAACACAAGATCTTGGAGAGAGATTTTGGAAAACCACAAATAAGTGTAATAAGATGACAAAAAATATTTAAAAAATAGCTAAAAAGATGTTGAGAGAATCAAGAGGTTGTGGACATAAGGTTATAGAATCGTGGTGGTGATGGTGGAATAAAATTGTTCAGAGTAAACTTAGCGTAAAAAAATATTTTTTTAAGAAATGTTCTAGGTGCAAAAATGTTGAATCTTGAAAAAAGTATAAGCAAAATAAGAATGAGACCAAAAAGACAGTAAGTGAAGCAAGAACTCAAGCTTTTGATGAATTATACTAATTTTTAAGAATCAAGAAAGGAGAAAAAAAACTATGTGTAGGCTTACTAAAAAAGAGAAAAAAAGACAAGATATTTGGATCAAGTAAAGTATGTTAAGATGAAGAAGGCAAATTCTTGATTTAAAAAAATATATACTAAGGATATGTAGAAGACATATTTCTACAATTTATTTAGTGAAGTGTATGATATCTCACTAGACTCTAGCATACTTGACATTAGAGAAGATATCAAAACTATAATTACTATTGTCAAATTCAGAAACAAGAGGTAAAAGAAACGTTGAAAATGATGAATAATGGTAAGGTAGTTGAACCATAAAACATACCTATAGAAGTGTAAAAAATTCTTGAAGATATAGGTATTAAGTTGCTCATCAAACTCTTTATAATAAAATTATGAGATTACAACAAATATCAGATGAATGAAAAAGAAACACTTTAGTTTTAATTTATAAGAACAAAGAGGATATACAAAATTATACAAATTATAAAGGTGAAGCTTGTGAGTCATATAATGAAATTGTGATAAAAGTGATTGAATGAAGATTGAAAAAGAGGTTCAAGTCACTGATAATCAATTTAATTTAATATGTGAAAGGTTGACCATGGAAACGATTTATCTACTACAATGTGTGATGAAATAATATCAGATGAACCAACAAGATTTTTATTTAATTTATTGACTTGGATAAGGTCTATGATAGAATGTCCCGAGATATTTTGTATCAAGCCCTAGAAAAGAAAGAGGTTAGGATTGCATATATCAGAACTATCCAAGATATGTATGAAAGAGTACCGACTAATGTGCAAACATAATGTGGAGAGATATACAAATTCCCATTGCAACAAGTTTACATCAAATTTCAACCCTAAACTCCTACCATTTTACTTTAATTGTGGATACACTCACGGAACACACTAAAGAACTAATATCAAAATGCTTTTTTTTTCCAGATGATGTAGTCTTACTTTAAGAGTTGAAGGAAAATTTTAATCAGAAGTTGAAAACTTAAAGACGAGTTTTAGAAAATCATGTCTTTCGTCTAAGTACAAGTAAGACAAAATATATAAAATGTAAGTTCAACAAAAGGAGAAATATTTTTGACATATGTGAACATTGAAGACCATATCATCCAACATGTCACACAATTTAAATATTTGAGTCCATAATACAAAACGATAAAAAAATAGAATGAAATATAAACCATCAAATTTAAGCTGAGTGGATGAAATGAATGAGGGTTTCAAGAGTTTTATCTAATACAAAAGTATCGCTAAAACTAAAGATTTTTTTAATAGATCATAGTAATATCTGCTATGTTGTACACGATATAATGTTAGACGATAAAAAATCAACACAAAAATAAAATAAGTCTAAGAGATGAAGATGTTACGTTAAATATGTTATAAGACTAGAATGATAAAATTATAAATGATATTATTAGAGAAAATGTCGAGGTAGTATCTATAGTAACAAAAGTGATGAACTAAACTTACATAGTTTGAACATATAGACAAAAGATTTATAGTTTATATAATAAAAAATATAAATCCGATAAAGAGAATTCAAACATTTAAAGGTAACAAAAATAAAAACTATTAGAAAAATTATTTAAAAAAATGTTGAAATTAACGATTTAAATAAAATATAATTTTAAATAAAATATGATGACAAAAATTGATCTATATAACCAACTCTACTTAATCATATTATTTTAGTTTTTGTTTTATTTTCTTCACTTTTTAAGACAAAAGTATTCATTTGTTGGTCACCTAACCAAACAACTTGAGTGCACAAATCTAACAAGGATCTATGTTGATTGAGAAAGAAATCCATATTATTTTTAAAAAGTAAAAAAAGAAAGAAAGAAAAACACATTGATTTAAAAACAATTTTCATAGTTAAGGAGGAACATGTCTTATTGTTCAGAGAGAGGGAGACGGTGTGTCGGGGAACTCTGTTTTAGAAGATTCTTTGAAAAGTGAGTTGAGTTCCACTTCCACAACACAACACAACACAACACAAGAGAATCTTTCACCGCTTTGACCAACTCACTTCTTTTTCTTCTTCCATCACCATGTTTCCCACCACTGTCATTTATAAAAATAAAAAACACAGTAACGACAACCATTGTTTCAGGAAAACACGGCCACCAATAACATACTATAATTATCCAATCTTAGCCATGCTTGCTCATAAAATTACCACTACATGTTTTTTATATTATATAGTTTTTTTTCAATGAGCATCACAGCTGGATCCAGATTTCAGACAATAATAATATTAAAACCATGGTTTGCATGTGGGGGTCTCATATGTGTTAAATACAATACATGCATTTAGAGTGAACTTGCATTTGCAGAATATAAGAGAATGCATTCAATATTTTAATGTAAAGAAACAGATCATGGATGAATGAATGTGAAGTTCATTGAATAAATGACTACACTACAACATCACATTCATATTTATTAACTAGACAATACCTGAAACAATCTTGTCTTCTCTGTGAGAGAATGCCATTACTACAATCATGTATCTTCCTCAACAACAAAAAAACAAAACAAGATTCATCTAATGTCAGTGATCACGCTTTTTATTAACTTCTGGCAAAATAATACAACTTTTTTTTGTCTAGGATGAGCGATGAAACTGAGTTCCGGAACGAGTAGACACTGTCAAAGTTGTTTGAGTGACATGTTTATTGTGAATAAAATAACAAATAGTTTACATAAGATTACAATGAATTGGTCACTACTATATACAGTTGAGACATGAAATACACAAGGAACGCGTTATGTACGCAGAACGGAACGGGGAAAGGAAGTCAAGAATCGCTAGTGGAATCAGGTTGATGATCTTTCTTGCTCTTCTCCAAAGATATCTGCTTGGCAATGCAAAAAAGAAAAAAATGTTTCACCCTTCAAACCTATAAAACGTATAAAACATATAATCGCCAACAATTTGGAGATGGCTTTCGGTATATGATGCATTGACTTACCAACAGAATATCCTCATCGGTACCAAAGGCCTTGCGAGCTTCTTCTAAAGACTTTGAAGCTATCCTTTTATGTTTCCTGAAATTTTTTCAGGGGATTGAGTTTATGTATTCATCAAGACGATCAATGCCAATTGCGATATATCAGAGCATATTACACCAGTAAAAAGGAAATTTAACTATTATGAATGAACAAAGTAAGATAGTATGCAGCTTAAACCAATTGTCAGAGACACAAAATTTTAAGAATCTTGATAGAATCACAGTTTGTATGTCCATGCTACTAAACTGATCCAACGGGTTATTGCATTATACATTTGGTTATAGGAGCCAAACACATATATCAAATGCTATAACTAATACAAGTTAACGAAACAATGGTTTATCAAGTAAAATCAAGTTAAGAGCACTACCACTCATCAGTATTATTAAACATTGACTGCCAGGAAAGTTTTCATAAACAACAGAACTTGAAAGAGATTTCGTTCAAAAACAACACATATAAATGCTAAATTGTCGCCGTGTATAATGAGTTGTCATGAATCATGACTTGCCACACTTTCATAAGAGAACTCATTTTTTAAAAGCAAAATTGTATTAATAGGCAATAATCAAACCATAAGTTATGTATGATTATGCAGAAAGTTTTACAGCAAGAAAAATCGTTTGTTGAGAGTTGTCATTGAGGTTCTCTAATCTCGCAAATGTTGGATTTTATAATATGAATTTTTTCGACTCATGTCACACAACCCTTATCAGCTTTTCTTAAGTCTGATATGTGTCTCACCTAGTCTTTCTAATTAATTTGCACTTTTTTCAATGCAAGTCATATATTATCAACATTTGGTATGCATGCTTGATCTTTGCAAAATAAATTAAATTCATATTCAAGATATTCAAACATTTGGAGTCCTACTAGTGTTTTTTTCAACTGCATTCATTAGCTACATCGATCTGTAACAAAGTGGTGCTGCAAAAGAAAAACATCTTGATATTTCCCACATCTTTTTACTTCATGCTAATTTCAGTTAAACATCTTGATATTTCCCACATCTTTTTACTCCTTACTGCAGGTTACTTAATCAACCACATCCCGTCCTTTGTGCTGAATAACCTGATTCTCCATTTTACCTTACTTCCTAAGGAACCATTATATAAACTTTATCTATGCTTCTTTGGTAGTACTTATTTTGTTCGTGACCTTTTCCTAAGGAAAGACAAACTCAAAGCTCATGCTATTAAATCCATTTTTTTCTTGGATATCCAGTAGTGCAGAAAGTTAGTTTCTTTACTTCTTCTAACGCGAATTTCTTCCTCCGGCTGCAGTACTATATACAGTCTACTCCGTCTCTCATTCTTTTCCACTCATCAAGAAGATGTTGCACATCCTTTGAACATTTATCAGTGTTGTCCTCGTGAACCTCCAACATCTCAACAAATTCTCAACACTAGTAGTGCTTCATTGCTTCTTCCAGCATCTCAATCTTCTCCGACCAACCATTATCACCTCTACATTTTCCTATTATTATTTACAAGGGCATTTACCCGGATCAAGATTTGCTGTAGTATGAAAAACCCGCAATCACGCAGTCATGCAATGGTAGCCGTCTGATTAACATAAAACGGTTTTGATTTAAGTTTGTTATTTTTGGAGTTATAAAAATCTGTTGTTTCTGATCATTAGATCAAAATCTAACAGCTAATAGAATCTTGATTGTGTGACTACGTGAAGTCAGTGACAGCAGCAGATTCAAATCCGTATTTACCCAACTCATAAAACTCAGCCTATTTATAATTTTTTAAGTTTTAGTTATTGTTGATATATAATATAATATTTCCTTTTCTGATTATTTTAACTTTATGTTTATTTTATTTTTATATCTCTCCTAAAATTAAGAAGTTGATTGATTGTATTTTCTCCTATAAAAAGAGCCCCGTTATTCATAATAATCTATGACAGTATTATTTTCTAAAGTTATCTTTATCTTGTTCAATATGCTTTCACCTCTACCTTTCCATTCATTTCTATTGCAAAAACTATCATGAAAGCCTTTCCCATCTAAGATGATAGCACACAATGATGAGGAAACGCAAGCTTCGGAATAAAATCGTACTTAAACACTGGTTCATTTACCTCCAAACAAAAATCCAGCGGGGTGTCAAAGTGTCTTCACTATGAAAGTAAGATCCAATGGTATTGTGGATGGTTTGAAGACTCATCTTGTGGTCAAGGGTTTCACTCAAAATTTTGGCAAGTACTACAAAGATACTTATTAGTTCTGCAAAACAGGATTCGATTGGTGTTTTTCTATCAGTGGTGACAATAAATCAATGGGCTTCATTTCAATTAGGCATACAAACAAAATTCACCACTAAATCAATGGGCTTCATTTCAATTAGGCATACAAACAAAATGTGTTTTTGCAGAGACTCGACGTAGGACATATATTGTTATAAATAATTTACTATTGTTAGTAGTAATTTGTAGTAGTAATTTGTATATGAACCTTTTGTATGGTTTATTCGCACCAAAATATTTATTATTCAGTGTTCACATGGTATTACGAGCTCTCGTTTGAGAGAGTCCTGCTTCCGCATAAAAACCCTAGCTCCCTTCATTGTGGTTTCTTTTTTTCTAAAACCCTAGCAGCCTTCATTGTGACCCACTTTTGCTGCCTTTATTGCAGTCTCTTACTTCCGGTTAAAAACCCAAAAAACACTACCCATGCCGTGTGCACTGTTCACACATTCATACATATTTTTGTTTGGTTTCTTCTCACCACCCATCTCACCATCTGACGCCTTGAAGAAAACCGTCCGGAATCCAGAGTTTCACTGCCGTCCAAGCCACCAACCTCCAGCGTGTGACAACCACACGCCGCCATTCTCAGTCGTCTTTTCCCATAATGTTTATCGGTGTCTTCCCTTTCTGTTTTGGGAGTTGACTCTCTGATTCAAGCATTTTCGTTCACGAGTCATTTGAAACTCACTTGGTTTTCGCTCCTTTTATTCTCATGATTGTTGTTGGAGATGCAACAGTGATTAATCAAGAACCAGAAAGAGGCGATTAAAAAACCCAATCGGAATTACCAACATTCCTCCGACTTACAATTTGAATTAGAACAATCACTTGAAGTGGTTTCAACTCGTGAAAACAACCTTGAAAGGTAAAGGGAAGGCGGAACACCTAACTGACGAACCTCCTAAAGAGAGATAGATCCCATGTTTAAGAACTGAGATATAGAAGATTCAACTATCATTGCATGGTTATGGCGTTCAATGATTCCAGAAATCAATAACACTCGCATGTTGAAGATTTGGAAGGGCATTAGAAGACTTATTCTAAAGTTAAAGTCAAAGATGTTGCCCAAATATATGACGTGAAACTGAAAATAGCAGCTGCTAAACAGGGAGACAAAATAGTAACAGAATATGCAAATCATCTCAAAACCTTATTATGGATGGAGTTGGACGGTCATAAAAGCCAAGTGTTCAAAAGATTGAACACATTCACATCATATATTTGGGCAGCATTTGAAAAATAGCAACAGAAATGTCACTCATTTCTGGAATCATTTGAAAAATTCTCTTCTAATGCTTCCAAATCTCCTTTGTTGTACTGAGAAACATGCAAGTGTCACTGATTTGTGGGCTTATTGAACGCCATAACCATAAATTGATAGGTGAATCTTCTGTATCCCACTTAAACTTGAGATTCGTCAACTAAGTGTCCTTCCTTCCCTAATCCCTTTACCTTTCAAGATTGTTTTCACGAGTTGAGACAACTACAAATAATTCTTCTCATTCATCTCGTAAGATAAAGGAAAGTTTGGTAATTCCAAAACGGATTTATAATCCTCTGTTTCAGGTTCCCGATTAATCACTAATGTGTCTCTTATGATAGCCGTGGTAAAAAAAACAAAAGGTAAAATGAGCAAAAAACACGTGTGTTTCAAATGACACAAATTAAGGTTCCGAGATCGGAGAGTGAGCATCCAAATCAGAAAGAGGAGGCCCTGATCTGGGATAGTACGGCCAAAAACGGCGGCGCGTAGAGCGGCACATGGTTGTCACACGTCAGAGGGTTGCCGGGAGGTGATGCCAAAAACGGCGGCGCGTAGAGCAGCACATGGTTGTCACACGTCCGAGGGTTGCCGGAAGGTGATGGCGCGCGGTGGCTTGAACATCAGTGAACATCAGTGATTCTCCGGGTTCCAGCTAGTTTTTTCAAGGTGAGACAAGAAACCGAACGGAAATATGTGTGGCTGTGTAAACAGTGGGCAAGGTGTGAATAATGTTTTATGGGTTTGTCCACAAAGAGTACTACAATGAAGACAACAAAAGATGCCACAATGAAGGTGGCTAGGGTTTTTATGCAAAAGTGAAACCCTCTCAAACAAGAGCTCATGACACCATGTGAAAAAATGAATGATATATATTTCAATATGAATAACTTACAAACATTGATCTCTTTAGATAGAATATTCTAACCTAATGGGCTTGACTAAAAGTCCAAACATAAATTACTCTAATGATAGTAAAAATAAATTATTTACAACACATAGTGATTGATTGTTATTTCATTCATGAGAAGATTGCTTATGAAGAAATTAGCACAGCCTGTCTCAACTCAAGCGATCAGTAGGCTGTTTGCTTGCCAAAGCTAATCAGGGACATAAACTTTTTTATATGAGCAGCAAGTCGGCTGCTTTTGGTCTCTATGATCAAGCTTGAGGGGGAATAGAATTTGTGTTTGAGCCCTAACTCAATTCCAAAAAATTGCTCATAGGGCGAGGGTTATTCCTCAATTATAACCACTGTTCAGGAGATTTCACTGTCATCTCCTCTATCAAATGTGATACTTTTAACACCACATTCGTGTTCATTGTTGTACACCAGGAGTATGAAGTTTCCAGGATATGATAGCTGCGGGTAGCCCAATAGACCCATGATAGATCCTGATACCATGTTGAACTTTTGAAGTGTAAAACAAAGAGAGGAAAAAGACCAAAATTATAGCCATATTCTAGATAGACTAAAAATATAATCTACTATAGTCATAATTTAGTCTTTATTCTTTCTCTCCTCTCTGTCTAAAACCCCATAACTACAACAATGGGAATTGTTAGAGATTGAATATCCCAACTATTGTACCACTTTCCAAGTTGCATGTATATTCATTGTATCTTAGGAAATTGAGTTAGGTTGATTATTCTTCGCGAAAATTTTTTTTTTTTTTTTGTATATCAATATCATTCTGTTGTGTGTTTACTCACTCGAGAATATTCAGAAACTCACGAAATATTGGTCTCTTGAGCGATTTTAACAATAAGGATAAAATATTGATGCACATTTTTTAAAATAATACAGGAAATCATAGTTAGTAGAAAGAGGAAAAAGAGGATACCTAGAGCTAGCAGGATCTCTAATCTCAAACATATCTGCTTCAGCATCAAAGCCACATATCAACACATAGTGACCTGTCAATAATAGTTTTTACTCAGTATTTGAATTTATCAATTGATAAATTTCAAAATGTCAGAATGAATAATACTAATTGAAGCATATACTTTTCGGTCTTAGATTCTCGGTAACAGAAAGTCACACTGGAATTAGACTAATCCAAGTCGAGACAGTTAAAGGAGAAACACTACTAGCATCTATTTTTTCCACTCACAAGACTCAAATTTTATCAAGATCCTTGTCCTTCAAGCCAAGAGGGTTTCACATGAGTCAACTTGTTTACAATGCTTGAAGGATTCTAGCGCGCATCAGAGTGCTGGGAATATGACACACTACAGTTATAGGTTCAATAAAATCCTTGTAGATTGTGCTGACACCAGCTTTGATGCAATTTCATGTTTAACTCATCAATACAGTGAAGGTTTTTCTTTTAGTTGAAATAACATTTTTTATATAAAACAAAAGTACTTTAAAGGGTATTACTATGTTTTTCAAGTTAAATTGAAGTATAATATCTTCAACATTGGATAAAAGGGTTTACTCAAGAACGGAGAATTGTCTATAAGTACTCGTACTCGCACTTTGAACATGCCTCTCAGAAATACTAACTTTACAAAAATAAAATTTTAAAACCAGATTTAACTCATCTTCTTAAAGGAAGGTAAGTGAAATGCCACACAATTTTTTGCTTCCAACTTCCTTGATCGAAACTGAAATATAATAATTTAATGATATATCTTAAGAATTTGGGTTGGACCCAACTCATCCCTATAAAACTTGTTTGTAAAGTGAGGATTGCTCCCACATATAAACACAACACATGCTATATTCAACACTCCCCTCACGGTCAAGCCTCAATGAAGCCGAAGCGTGGACGATGCTGGAAGCCCAACAAGTGATCTAGGATAGACTCTAATACCATCTCAAAAATTTGGGTTGAATCTAACTCATCCCTACAAAACCGCCTTGTAAGGTAAAGATTGCTCTCACTTATAAATACACCACGTCATATCTTTAAGCAACATGAGACTAAATCCACCCTTTCAAACCCAACCCCAACACAATTAAGGTGTTGGAGGCTGCAATTGAAGGCAAGTCAAATGCCACAATTTAGACGACTAGGGGCAGACCGCAATGAAGGCGGAAAATTCCAACAATATATTTGTATAAACTTGTTAGATAAAGTCATTCGGTACATGCACACTGCATGCGATAACTAAACAAACCAAAAGGAGTGCTACATATTATATAGCATGAACGTAACACAGTAACTTCCATTTAAAGAACGCATATGTGGCCGTATACAAATAAGTTAAAGAAAAAATATCAACGCTCACCTGTATAGTCAGAGTTGTTGCTGAAGACGCCAGCGACAGGAACATCTTGCCATGAATTACTGAAACCAGAATCATTTCAGTAGTAGATAGAATTGCTCATGACTGAAGAATGACATTGATGCGAAAAGAAGAAAAATAAAATAGTGAAGAATTCAACTAGACCTGAGGTGACAAACTTTATAAAAATATAAGATGTCAGTCAATGAATAGATTTAAAGTATGTAAATACTGCGGAGATATTGTTAATTTAAGTGTTAAAGCCAAATAAGCACATAGGGAAAATAGAAGAAACATCTACCTCAATTTATTGTGATCAACTAATGCAATGGCTAAATATTTCCCAGACAATATGAGAAAGGAAATCTCCTCTTCACTAAGTGACCTGCACTGTAAAAAGATGGAACTTTTGTTGACAACTTACACAAAAGCAACAAAGTCGTAGGCAATAAATCATTTTCTTTTCTTTTCCAACAGTTGAAGTCAAGAACTTCTTAGAATTATACTTGGGACATCCAATAAAATCGGTATGTATACCTGTATATCAATTCCAGCCTCCATTGCATCCTGAAACAGTGTATCCACTCTTACTAGATCATTAGGCAATTCCTCCTACACAGCATTTAAACAAAATCTTAGCAACCTAATGTAATCAATAGACAGTACTGAATGTGCACTGAAGAAAGATCTCTAGACTCTATGACAACGTTCTTTCTGCATCTCCAATAAACTAACATCTATTTGCTCCTCGAAATATTATTACATCAATTTAATCTTCACACAATAATTATGTGGCATAAAAATAATCCAAATATTATATTTGTAATTGCCAGAAATCATTCTTTTAAGACAAAATTGGCTTTCACTCCAACATTAAAGAAGTTGTAATTACCTTGTAAAAGGATTCACCACAATAGTTTGGGTTTGCACCAAGTGTCACTGTTAAGTAGGAAAAAGTAACAGAAAATCTTTGTAACAAATACGCCAAATCAACAGTCCAAATGCTGCAAAACAGTAGTCAACAGTGAGAGAAGTCAGAAGTCCATCATATATTTTCATATTAAATGATGATATTCATCTGGATACTTTGGGGGGAGGGTATATATGATATTAATCTGTTTTAGTAATAAACTCAGACTAATAGAAAATTCAGTTCTGTTGTTGGCACTTGACGACATAACCTAGAAAAGTTAACAAGCATTAAAATGAACAAAGAATTTGTTTATTTTCCTATTAGTGGGAGCCAATTAAAAACGTAAATACACATGGTTGTTAGAGTCCCTACTTCCTACTATATGAACATTAATATCCTTAACCAATTAAAAATGTCTAAACTATACTTATTCTTAGTTGCATTCTACATCGTCATGTGTATATCATCTAGAACTTTCAAGGATGCCATATAACACAGTAACGATAATATCTAGGCTTTTATAGAGTGAAAAGACCTATTTGTGCAGCATAGGTCAGCCAGGGCTTGAATATCAAAGTTGTTGACACCAATAGTTTTCAGAACCATTACCACACAAGCAAGGCCGCAATCCCATGTATATATTTGATTTATGTGTGGTACCTACAGGCATGATTGGGAAGAATTTTACTATAGTATAATGAATGGATAAATATGGAAGAACTTTACTATAGCATAATGAATGGATAATGTTTGTAGTATACAATTTCTGCAATTAATCACATGCACTTACTTCAATGAAAAGTGAACGCCGTAATGACGGAGGATTGGAATCTATGTTACATGATAAATTCTGAAACAGGTATGGTTCAATCACCTCCAGATTTTCTCCTTTTATTTCTTTTTCATCTTCCGTTTTAAGAATCTTGTTGAATAGTAGGCATATGGGCCACATTAATGACTAAATTGAATGTGCACAATGTTTACTTTCAAAAAAGGTTCAGGAAATCAAAAGAGTTCAAAGAAGGTAGATAGGCTGTCCTTGTAGTCTATGTGGAGTACCAACCAAATTGATAGAGTACCTGCAGCAGCATCGACATAAAAGTTATTAGAAGTCAGGCATACAATTCTTCCAAATTTTTTGAAGTTAGGGGCACCAATTTCACCAAAGGCCACAACACATAAGAACTTAAGATAAGAGTATATTTGGATGAACGAGTTTGGTTGGGAGGGAAAGGAGGGATCATTTTTCATCTTAAGTAACACTATTTTTATTTGAAAATGAGGGAATGTCACGAAACCATCCATTCACTGTGTATTCAAGATTTGAACATTTAATACTTCTTCAAGTCTAAGAATGAAAAACTAATTTCCCTACGGTTCCCTCCAACTTAAAATTTACGAGGATTGACCAAATTCAATACAAATCACACATAACCAAACATGGATTGCCTTTGAAAGTTGGCAGTAAGTGCAGGATAGCTTCACCAAACTTATTATGTTTGAGGAAGCTCAGAAAACTCCACAAACTTGCTTTTACACGGGCAAACATGGTTTTAGTTTAAAATATCGTGTTTGGTTGTAATATGCATGTTGGAATTCACACTTAATTGCGGCATTCGGCTTGCCTTAATTGCAGTCTCCAACACTTTCATTGTGTTAGGTTTGAAGGGGTGAATTTAGTCCTACATTGCTTAGAGATATGACCTGTATTTTGTTTATAAGTAGGAACAATCACCTTACACACTAGTTTTGTAAGGATGAGTTAGGTTCAACCCATACATTCTGAGATGGTATCAGAGTTTATCCTAGATACTTGTTGGGCTTCCCACATCATCCATACTTCGGCCTCATTGAAGCCTGAGCATGAGGGGGGGTGTTGGAATTTCCGCCTTCATTGCGGTCTGCTCCTAGTTGGCTTAATTGCAGCATTAGGCTTGCCTTCATTGCTCAGGTCTGCCTTCATTGCAACCTCCAACACCTTCATTGCATTGGGTTTGATGAGGTGGATTTAGTCCCACATTGCTTAGAGATATGACATGTGTTGTGTCTATAAATAGGACCAATCCTCACCTCACAAGCCGGTTTTGTATGAATGAGTTAGGCTCAACCCAAATTCTAAAAATGCAAGAATGAATTTTAATTCTAAGAAAACCTCTAACATGTAGTTTTTGCGCTAGGTTGTGAATATTTACTAGAAGTTTTAGTACAAACTTTTTTTTTCAAATTCTAAACATAAATCCCTTAATCTTTTTTTGTTGAACGCTCGGTATCCAGCCCTTAGGAGCCCTTAGGACCGATTAATTCGGGACAAAACCCACCATTATGGACTGGCCCATCAGAGGAATAGTCTGCACCCAACATATCCGTACTAAGAGAAACACACTGGTCTTAAGCCTTCACCGACTGGCCAACCGTTTACCTTAAAAGCCATTTTTTTTAATTGCATGTTTGGATTTGCAGTGAAGTTAATGGAATCACAGTGTGCTAGTGTTATTTTAGCAAAAATCATAATCTGAAACTTCAATAACGTGATTTTGTCAAACTCACACCGTAATTCCAAAACATGCATGCACTAAATCTTCTCATGTTAAAATTTCAAGTGATAAGAAAATTGTATCTCATCACGCCCCTTCTAACAATTAGCTTCAGCATAAAAACCTAACAACAAAAACACATGATCACTTGGATCAACAGCAAAGACACAGAAAATTCTCCCAAATGCAATAAAATTTCAACAGTTTCATCGAGGTAAGGTTAATTCAACGAAAATAAATAATAAAGCAATGAATCGAAAAAAACAGAGATGAAATTGAACATACAAAGGGGAGAGCGTGTTGAAACGGAGACGGAGACGGAAATAGACAGGTCGTTGAAGTATTACGTCGGTTGGTGGCTTCTTTGATGATTTATGTTCTCTCTCTCCCATCCGTCAGGTTTTTCTTCTTTTCTTTTCTAGGGTGAAAAGTTAAAAACCGAGTATGTTCTGTGCGTATGTTTTTTTTCCTTTTTAAGGAACCATGTTTTTTTCTGTTAAAATTTATTACTTTTTTCTCAAAAATATAAAGTAAATTCAATTTCTTTTAATTTCACATTAATTTATTATGACACTTTATTTAAAAAATTAATAATTAATAAAATCATTTAGAACCCGTGAATTTATAATAATTTATAATAAAATTAATAATTGAATTAAGGTGAACATTTATCCTTGAATTTAGTTAAGGAATAGGTATTTTTATAAGATAAATAATAATATTCAATATCATATTATATTTTTATTTTATTTTATTTTAAAATAAATTTAAATTTAAATTTATTTAAATTTAAAATATCGATATCAACCAAGAATCATCGGTATAAAAAGATGAATCTCTAAGAGAAAATTCATATAAGGTTTAATATAAACTATTTTAAATATATTTTATTTGATAAAAAAATAATAGATAATTTATAAATTTATTTAAAGGATAACTGATAAACTAACAAATGAATTGGCATATAAGTTAGATGATTGAATTTATAATGTTTGATAAAATGAACGACTAAATTAGCTTATTAAAAAATCGAGGTAGCCATATAAGAATGTTACGGAATTTCTTAATATATATTATATATTTTTTAGGTACCACGTGAAAATACTAAAATGCTATCGGATTCCAGAGATACATTTATAAACGCATTCAATTCTGATTTAACGTTAAAATATTTCGAAAATGTATCTTCAAACTTATTTTAGAGATGCATCTTCAAAAGATACTGGAGCTTAAATTGCGTCAGGCCCTTCCCCTTCCTCATTTTTAAAAAAATTCAAAAGTTTATAAAAATTCTCTCAATTTTTTTTCCATTAACCAACTCCTAAATCAAACAACAAAGCTTATGGGTTTTTCAATCAACATCAAGTGCATCAAATACATTATCAAAGTGTAAGGTAAATTATATATTTGTAAGTTTTTTTACTTTTTGAAAAGTTTTTGAGTTTTTGTGTAAATGAGTAGAAATTGATGATTAAGGTAAGAAATGAGTAGAAATTGCATGAATGGTAGTTTAAATATAGTGTAAAACATGTTTGTTGGCTGAAAATGATGATCAGACCATTTTTTTTTGTGTTTTCATGTCTGCATTGCCGCCATTGACACATCTGAGGTGTTGTAAAAAATTCTGAAGATGCATCTCAAGAATTTTTTCAACGTTTAAGTTTCCTAGTAACCGGAGATGCATCTTCGAAATTTAACAGTGTTTTATTTTTTTTCTTGCTTGTAGTGTTGCTTGTTTGCGCTAATTGTCTGGTTTACTTTTACTTACAAACATTATGCATCGGTGCGGTGAGAGAAAAGTCAGGTTTTAAAGGCTCCTGTTCATATAGGCATACATAGACATCTACTTCTAGGGCTTATGTTTCTCCTCAAGCATCTCCATCTTCTTCTTCCCGTAGGAGATGATTTTCACCTACCGACGCATCATTCCATACATCCTCTAGGAGGCGCCAAGTTTCACCTATTCAGGCGCTAGAGGTTTCTGAGTCACCGGAGGCACCAGTGCCACCTCTGGATGGTGAGGTTGTTGAGGATACTGCCGGGAGTTAAGATGATGGTAGATTATCTGGGAGTTGACCCAACATATGTGATGGCAGAGATGGATAGAACCAGCGGGGCTCATGCTAAGTTTGAATTTCTCAAAAAGGTATATATATATATATATATATATATATATATATATATATATATATATATATATATATATATATATATATATATATATATAAAAGCTCAAGAGAGCTGAGCAGGCTAGAGGCGATGACGAGCATATGTGGCCCCATACAGCGTATGCTATGAGAGCATACTTGTTATATTTGGTTGGCACTGCGATTTTGTGGAAAAGAGTTCCACTTATACAGGTGTGGTCTACCTATGTTACTTTGAGGATTTTAAATGAATCCATGAGTACAACTGGGGGGGCTCTTGTTTGGTCTACTTTTACTCAAAGTTATCAGATGGCTGTAAGTGGAAGACGAAGCAGGTCACAAGCAACATCACACTACCGACGGTAATATTTATTGGTCTTTTAATATTTCTGTGTCATTTTCGTTTCATATTTGCAACACCATTACTGATGATTCATGTGTTCCAACACATTTTAGGCTTGGATCCTTCAACATTTTTCGCGTATCTCTAGTTGGGCAGGTGTACCGACTTACACTAACGATATGTCGTGTGCTACTACATTTGCCCCACTCAAAGGGAACCAGGCGACAGATTCCTTCAGAATGTATCTTGTTCACTTGGTTTCTAAGGACACGCACTTCAACAACTATGTGGATCATTATGAGACGTGACCATTTGACGAGATAGTGTTATACTTGGGATGGTTGGCCTACGGATCATGTCTCACTGTTGCATATGCCTGAGCGCGTGATGTGGCAGTTCAACTAGACTCAGACCATTCTCAGACATCCTGTTGTTTATTCTCCTCATGTTTTTACACGTAGACATATGGATGTCATGTTTGATGATATGAAAGTCATTTGGTACCGAAAGAGGCACATAGTACCATAACTAAGAGAGATTGGAGCTACGTCGACGAGTACATCAAGTGGTTCTTGATGGTATCACATTTGTATATGGTGTAGGCTGTTCGAGGAGATCCATCGATGTCAACTCATTAGGAGATACTAGAGGAGGAGCAGACACAGTTAGATCATGTTGATGATATCTTTCCTAGATGTCGTCGCATAGTGAAGATTGTGTAGGTAGACATTGACATGATTATCTTCCCTAATGGGCCTGATAGGTAGGTCCTATATGCCATCATGATGGAGGAACGTGGGGAATTGATGTACCAGAGACTTCACTAGAGGACGGGGGGCAGTGGAAGCAGAGGAGTCAGGGGAGGCAGAGATGTAGTCTGACATACACAGTAGTGCAATAATATATAGTAGTTGTACTTTAGATTTAT